CTTTTCACATGCCGATAGATTTATATTAACACCATACTCGAATACCACGTGAAATAATATATCACAGCTTTCTAATGCATATATAACATACATATCATATGACTTGTAACACTTTATTATTTATCCTATGTTGATATTTCACACCTTGTGAGCGTGTTTTCATTCGGCTATGAACCGAATCAACTACATCTAATTTTACTAGCATACTTTTTCATTCTCTAGATCGCGGCACATGACGCTCAAGACAAGAGGGAAACCCCCGAACTACCACAATCGCGTCTCATCATCATCGCGTATATAAGGTGAGCGGCGCAAACAACAGCATACTTACCTGACGCAGGTACTTACATGCGTCAGGTTCTTCACCCTTGCAGTGGAGGATCTATGCTTGGAACAATGTCCATAACTCTGCTGTCAAGGTTATCAACTAGCTGCAGTTCTTTGTGCAGACACACCCTCGTCTTTGTTCTTGTCTTCCGGTTGCTGGCCAGCCTAACTTGTTAGGTGTTAGGTAGTAACCACCCCACTTCTCTTTTTTCTTCTTGACTGCTTGCCTTGGTCTTCGGATCTTGGTTAAGTAGTTTTCCTGGCTGTGGGACTGGGTGGCTAGCACCCAGCACAGTCTTAAGGCCGCCAGTACCAGTGTTTTATTGTTTTATTAGGTAGTGGTGACTAGTGTGTTTCTGGTTGTTTGCTGTCGAGTGGTCTAATTAGGGGATCACTCAAAGGAAGGCTGTCTTTTTTGGTCTTTGTCTTTGCCTTGTTGCGGGCACCAGCTTTGGGCTGTTCTTGTCTGTTCCCTGGTTTTCTTTCTTTTCCTTGGTAGTTAGTGATTGGTTCAATCACTGTTTGTGGTACTGCTCCTTTCGTGTTTAGGGGGGGTAGTCGTTTGTACCTGGGGTTTGTGGTGATTGTTGTTCAATCACTCTTTTGTTAAGTTTTGAGCGGGTTTGCGCACGTGTTAACTTAACCGTTGTTTTTGGTGATTGTTTTTGGGGCATTCAATCTTTGGCGATTGCTTTTTCACAATTTAGTGCAGTCGCACTTTGTTTTGTACCGGTCTTGGTACCTTTTGGCGATTGTTTGGTGTTCCAATCGTTCTTTGTAAAGTGTATTAGTATATATATATATATATAGCTGGCTTTTTCTTCTTCAGTTTTAGCGTTTACGTGGCGGAGAGAGTCTCCTCTGTTCGCCTCCTTTTTTCTAATACACATTATATTATATCAATCTATACATAAATATGTGGTTGTTGGATTGTCAATCCAGCTGAGTGATTTCAAGGAACACGTCACATTCAGTGGCGATTTCTCCTATTCTCGCCGTGTGTCCACTTTTAAACGTGTTGCAAAAACATGTAGCCCGGACCGGGCAGATGCCAGGAGGATCATACCTGCCTGTCGACTTGAGCCATTTGCCATCCGCCGCAACCAAGACATGGTGTCTGTCGTTGCTGATACTTCAGTCGAGATGTCTGTCGTCTCCATGCAACAACAAACTGTGCCAGTTGATTCTCCGGCAGTTGTCACCTCCAACCGTTATGCGTTGCTGGCAGATGAGGCAGATGAGCTGGCTGCCCCTGATCCTGTCTCTTCAGTCGTTGTTCCTGCGGGAAACCTTCTTCAGCCCTCCTCTACCAACTCTGCCATAAGTGATGCTCCTGCTGATAGCACGGCTGTTTCCATTCAGGCACAGCCTGTTGTGGATGATCTAGCGTCCCTTGCCGGGACCATCGTCGATCCGCTCGCCAGTCCATTGCCTACCGATGGTGCTGCCGAGCCGGTTGGTTCCACTCCTCCATCTGTGGACCAAATTCCTGCTGGTACTCAACCACCTGTACCTTGTGGTGAATCTGTGGCAGCTGCTTGCCAGTCTTCTGCTATTTTTTCACTCTCTGAGCCCTCTCTGCAGCTGCACCTCTCTAGGAGTGAGCAGTGTGCTGAACCTGTTGCCTCGCTTTCTCCGCCTGTTAGTGGAGCTGTTGAGCCGTCTCCTCCTAGCACTCCTGTGACCCACACCCCTGTGTGTACAACTCCACCTGTGTCTTCTTGTGAGCCTACGTTAGAAGATGCTGCTAGTTCTGCGGCAGAGTTTTCTCCACCTCCCATCCCTTCTCGTCAG